CGACGCGTCGGCAGACGACGGAAAGAAGTCAAGCGCTGCAAGAGTCGTACGTAGCGTGTCGTGCCACTCGCGGGGAGTTTGGCGCAGGCCGTAGACAGGTCGATGCAGGTGCTTGGGGACCTATAAGATGCCATCTCTGCCTCCTCAGCTGCTATCCAGTACGAAGCCCAGGGTCCGGAGACCGCCTTGGCGTGAGTGCAAGGAATCGGGATGTCAAGGGCATCTGGATCCCCCTCAGGGGCAAGCAGCATGGTGCGGAGATGTGGAAGATCGGCCGCAAGGAAGCCAATCTTGAAGTGCCTGTCCTCTAGGACCACTAGGGGAAAAACAGGAACACCCTCAGTGGACGGATAATGAGCAGTACCGCTCACCAGATGAGAGGCGTAGTCAAGGCAGTGGGAAGAGGCCAGGCCAGCGAGAGTGGTAACAAGAGCTGAGGTAGACAGCGGGGGGGAAGTCTGGTGAGTGACCAACGACGACAAAACACGGGAGACGACACGACAAGAGGCACGGAGGTAGTTGGACAGTGGGTCGGGAAACACAGTCAGGGATGACTCAGGAGGCTGTGGAAGGACTGGAGGAGGTGGAACACGAGAGCGGAGAACAAGGTGAAACGAACCGTCAGCATGGTAGCGAGACCAACGAGGCTTTGGAGACACAGCTGTCAAGTGACTTACAGGTGAAGAGAATTGACTAAGGAAAAACAAGGTACAACAAGATATAGCAAACCCTAGGGAATATGAATGGAACACCTAGACTAACCTAAACAACACATATCTCGGAAACTCACCCGCCTCTTCCCCCCACTTCTCTCAAACTGCTCTCCCAGCCCTCTTGTGTCACTTCCCGGTTCGCTCTTCTCCCTTCTCCTCCCTCACTCTTGACCTTCACTCTCCATCCCTTCTTGCTCTCTCCCTTTTTTCCCCCTTCTGCTGCATTGTCCTGACTATGTATCTCTGCAGACCCTGCATAGCCTTGTAGTGCTCTTCTCCTCCCTATCCTTCATAAGCTCTAAGCTACTTCACACACATTTCAGTCTGCTCCTAAGCTCCCAGAATCTTGCTCGCCATATCTCCCTATCGTCACCGCTTGCTCTGTGTACAGCAAAGCACTCGTGTAAAAAGGGAAACATACAAGCAATGAGCATTGGTTGCGGAAATCCCCCTATTCTACCAGCACAGCCACCACCGCCTTCTGGTCCCATCACCCCAGTCTACGCTAGTAGCTATGAGCTTCTACATGCAGACTTTCAGCCGTGATGCTTCTTGCCACCCTCCCTTGCCCTGACTACTCTACCTCCAGCTGCACTCATCCAGATCCAGCTGGCTTCCCGGACCAATCTTGCACACATAGGGAAACAAACAAGCATGCATTCGAACACCCATCCCTTCACACCCTCCACCAATACCTTCTGCTGCCGCTGCCTTACTTCCCGCTGCTTTTACAGCCCGCAACCCATTGCTTACGTAAGTTTCAGCTCCCCTCTCGCCCATGCAGCCTTCCGACCCTCCGGCTCGGCAGACGCCAGCTCCCCTCCTTCTCCCTTCGCCATGTGAAACACCAACTGACTGCTTGGCTCCCATCCTCGCTCAGCTTCGCCTCGCTATATACAGTTTTTACAGTATATTCACCCTCCCTGACACGACTGCCTTACCCTTCACATATATGCAAATATGACAGCTGACGGAAACTCACCCGCCTCTTCCCCCCACTTCTCTCGAACTGCTCTCTCAGCCCTCTTGTGTCACTTCCCAGTTCGCTCTTCTCCCTTCTCCTCCCTCACACTTGACCCCTTCACTCTCCATCCCTTCCTGCTCTCTCCCCTTTTTCTTCGTTCTGCTGCATTGTCCTGACTATGTATCTTTGCTGACCCTGCAGAGCCTTGTAGTGTTCTTCTCCTCCCTATCCTTGCCCCCTCCCATGACCTGCTGTCGCCGTCCTCGCCCTGGTCATGGGACCAGTGAAAGCCGTACGCTGCTTCTGCTTCCCTGCATGAGCCACATTTGTGATATGATCCAGCACTCGCTTTCCTGTGTTGTCCTCCAGCACTAGCACTCCCGAATCCCGCACCTCTTTTACCTCCCACCATTGCTGCGACACTCCCACGTCCGCCCGTGTTTCTTTGCCCGTCGCACGTATACCTCCTGCCCTTCTTCCACCTCGGGCTGCTTCCCTTGCATCTTGCTCAGCTGCCGCTGCTTGTAGCGGTGTATTTTGCGCAACTGTGCTACCTTAAGGCTCTCCATTGCGGTTGGTAACAACTGTCTCAGGTACCTGGCCCTTGCGTCCACCAGTGCTACCCACGTTTCTGCCCTCCTCGCTGTCACACTGTCCGTCAGCAGCCTCGGGGCATTCACAGGTAGGATCGGCTGCTTCCCAAAGAGCAGATAATATGGCAAAACGCCCTTCAGCGCCGCTTGCTTGCTGAACCTATACCCTGCCATGACCCAGGGTAGCTTCCTATCCCAGTTCCCTTTGTGTGCCTCTCCATACACTCCCAGTCCCTTCTTCACTATCTGCACCAGTCGCTCCGTTAAACTATCGCTCTGAGGATGATACCTCGACGTGTTGCGGTGCTGGATGCCGTTAGACGCCAGCAACTCCTTGAACTCCCCTTGGAATCCAGTCCCCTGGTCCGTGAGCACCTCTCCGCATGCCCCGAATCGAGTCAAGACCATCTCCTCAAACGCTTCTGCCACTGCCTCCGCCGTCTTAGCCACCAGAGGTCTCGCTTCCTCCCACTTGCTGACATGTTTTATCATCAGGACAATATATCTTCTGCCCCTCCGTGAGACCGGCAGCTCTCCTACGATGTCCAGTGACCAGCGATATCCCAGCTCCACGATATCTAGAGGCTGCAGCTCCGCCTGACTCTTCAGCAAGCTAGCTTTGTTCCTGCAGCAGAGCTCACACTTCTCTACCTACTCCTTCACCTCCTTCCACATCCCCGCCCACCACCTGCCAATCTGCAGCAGCTGCTGCGTCCTCAGAAGCCCATAATGCCCCAGCTTGTTGTGCACTTCCTGTATTATCTTCTCCCTCTCGCTCGGCGCTGGCACTCTCTTCCACCCATCCTTTGTCTGCAACTGCACCTGTCCTTGGTACCACCTGTAGTGCTGACCCCGGGCTCTAGCTCTGGCCTCTGTTCCTCCATCTTCGGCTGTCTCTCCCTTGATCCACGCCAGAGTCACCTCATCCCGCCACACATCCACTGGCCCGCGTGTCTGTGATACTCCTTGTCCCCGCTCGGTCACCATGGCTGTCAGTGCTGCTGGTGGTGGTTTCGGTTCCTGTGGGCTGCGTGGCGGGTTCCTCGACAGCCCGTCCACGTGCTGCATTATCTTGCCCGGCTGATGCTTCACTGTGAAATCATACTCTTGTAGTTTCATCGCCCACCGCGCATTCCTGCCTGTCAGCGTTTGGTTGTGCATCAGCCACAGCAACGGCTGATGGTCAGTCACCAAGGTGAAGTGCCACCCCTGCAGATTAGACCCTGAAGTGTCCCACTGCCCATACGGCTGCTAATCCTTCCCCCTCATATGATGAGTAGTTGGCTTCAGCAGGGCTGCAGGTCCTGCTGGCGAAGGCCACTTCCATAAGCCCCTGCAACGCCTTCTCTTGAGGCTCCTCCCACTGCCATTTCTGCTCTCCCCTCAGCAGTATGTTCAATGGAGCCGCTTTCTTGCTGAAATCCTCTATGAATTTGCGGTAGTAGTTGAGGAACCCCAACAGAGCTCTCAGGCTGCTTCTGTCTTTAGGCCGTGCCACCCTGTCCTGAACCTCCACTTTAGCCTTCTGGATGCTGAGCTCTCCTGCTGCCACTTCGAATCCCAAACCAGCATTTCCCCGGGTGACACGTCAGCCCTGCTGCTTCGATTGCCGTCAGTGTTGGAAAAGTCTGAGTGCAACTCGTAGTCGCGCTGGGCTGCAATATGCAGCAACACCCGAAGAGTAGTCATCTTCGGGGTAGGAACGAAGGTATGGAAGAAGTCTACCCCCTCTCGCTGACTAAAGCCTCTCGCCACATAGCGCGCCTTGAACACCGGTGGTGATCCAGGCGGCCGCTTCACCTTGAAGAGCCATCCACCACTTACGATGTTCGGCCCAGGTGGTGAGACTGCGTCGACGTAGGTGCCTGTTGACCTATAAGATGCCATCTCTGCCTCCTCAGCTGCTATCCACTACAAGGCCCAAGGTCCCGAGACCGGCTCAGCGTGATTGCGACGGATCGGGATGTCAAGGGCGTCTGGATCCCCCTTATGGGCAAGCAGCATGGCGCAGAGATGAGGAACAGCGACCGCAAGGAAACCAAGCTCAAACTGCCTGTCCTCGAGGACCTCCAGGGGAAAGACAGGAGCACCCTCAGAGGACGGAGAGCGAGCAGGGCCACTCACCAGGTGAGCGGCGTAGTGAAGGCAGTGGGAAGAGGCAAAGCTAGTGACTGTGGTAACAAGAGCTGAGACAGACGACAGAGGTGCAGGTGGGTGAGTGACCATCGCGGACAAAACACGGGAGACGACAGGACGGGCGCCACGGAGATAGTCGCACAACGAGTCGGGAGACAGAGTGAGGGACGACTCGGGAGGCTGTAGAAGGACTGGAGGAGGTGGAACACGAGAGCGAGCAAGGTGAAACCGGACGTCTGCACGGTAACGAGACCGACGGGGCTCTGGCGATACAGCAGGACTGAGGGGAGAACGACGAGTCCACGGGGACGAAGAAAGGGACTCAACGGGAGGAACAGGAAAGGACAGTAGGGGACAACGAACAAAGCTTGCAGGTGCTGGGTCGGGCAGGTCCAGCTGTTGCAGCTACTCTGCCTCCTCTGGCGTTTGCTGCGACGGCATCTGTCCTTGCTACTGCTCCAGTGACTCCTCCTCTGCCCTCTCCTGGTGCGACTGCAATTGCACCTACTATTGCGACCGGGACTCCTGCTCTAATCTCTCCTGCTACGAACGTGACTCCTCCTCTACTCTCTCCTGCTGTGACTATACCTGTTCCTATGGCTCCTCCTCTGCCCTCTGCTGCTGCGGCTGGGACTCCTGCTCTACCCTCTCCTGCTGCAAACGTGACTCCTCCTCTAATCTCTGCTGCTGTGGCTCCAACTGCATCTGCTGCTGTAGTCGTGACTCCTCCTCTACTCTCTCCTGCTGTGGCTGTGGCTCCTCCTCGACTCTCTCCAGGCGCTGCGGCTGAGCTTGCGCCTGCTGCTGCTGATGCTGCTGTTGTCGTGCCCTCTCAAAGCGCTCCCGCTCCTCCCTCTCAAACCGGTCTAGACGCTACACACGGGTCAGGAAACGTACAGTGCGCGGTGTAGGCGTGGCAGTGCCCGTGCCTCTAGCTCCAGCACCCCCAGAACCATGACCTCCGCCAGCGGCTCCCTTAGTGCCTCCAGTACCTCCTACAGGAACACCCCCAGGCTCTGCAGTAACCGACCGCAGAGGCGAACGAGGAGGGAACTGTGGGACGGACGGGAAGCCAGGAGGTGAGGTAGGGCAAGGGCGCCGACTCGAGGCAGCCACATTCCCTCAGGGGTGGCCTCCACGCCCACACCCCCTGCACCCCCCGAGCCGGCACCACCAGCTCTAGCAGCCCCTGTACCCTCACCCTCCGCAGCTGCACGTCATGCACCCCTAGACGCGACAGAGACCGGACGCTGCGGGGGAGACGACTGCCACGTGACGTGCGACACACTTGACGGGGCAGGACGTGAAGGGGGGGGGAGGGGGGCTACCGGGGCAATTGGGTGGGGCACCGGGGTGAGGAACAACGGGGGGGAAAAGGCCTCAGAACCTCGGTGAGGATGGGGAAAAGAGCGGATGGGGAGGGGATGGGGAAAAGAGCGAAGCACACCAGCGTCACGAAAAACAGAGTCAGTAGCACCACTGCTAAGAACAAACTCAAGAGTTCGAGGGAGGGAAAGAGCAGCAGCTGTGGGACCAAGATACTGAGAATCATTGCCATTAACAGAAGGAGCAAACATCATGGCAAAACGAGGGTCCATAAGGGGAGAAGCCCCCAGAATGCTATCCTGACTAGGCATAGTCACACTGAGAGCAGAGGTTTGAGTACTGGCACCAGAGTCGGCGGCCACAAGTACCGCCTGGGCAGAAGACTGTTGACGCTGACGAGAGAGTTGAAGCCAGTTGGGAGGGCGACCAGTGTTGCCAGCCAGGAACCAGTCATCGGTGAGCTTCTGGAAGCAGGAGGAGGCGGGATGACTAGTGCGACCACAGGGCTGACCCTTGCGGGGCCCCTGGCGAATGATGTAGGTGCAAGGAGGAAAGGTGTTGCGAGGGCGAGAGGAAGCAGCGGCGGCAGTGGTGGTGGGGAGAGGAGGGGGGGCGGAAGAGGGTGCGACAGCGGCGGCAGTAGGAGGGCAGCTGCGGAGGTTGAGCTCTGCCTGGAGGAGGAAGGCAGAGACACGAGAGAACGACCACTGGTCGGCGGGGCGCTCACCATACAGGGTGACATGAACACTGTATTCAGGAGTGAGGCCTGTGAGGAGGAGGGCACCGCAGACATGATCGGAAAGTTCGAACTTTTGGGCGGCAAGTTGGGAGGACAGCGTCTGCACACGAGCGATGTAGTCCGCCATGGTGGTGAAGTCAGCAAGGCGAAGAGAGGTGAGCTCGCGTAAGAGGGCAATGACACTGATGGGAGTCTGCGACTGGAAGCGCTCAGTGAGATAACCGAGAAGGTCCTTGGCACAGGGGATGTGCGAGCACTGAGGGAGAAGGGTCGAAGGTAGGCAGACAAGGATGACCTGGCAGGCACGTGCGTTGGCAACATGCCAGTCAGCGAGAAGGTCAGAGTGAGATGGAGCAGAAGCAGAGGGCGTAGGGGCAGAGCGAGGAGAAGGGGTAGCGAGATGCTCAGAGAGGCGCTTGCGGGTGCTCTCGAGGGACTCAGCAGGAACACGAGCGAGGTCACGGGCTGCAGCATTGTCAGGAGCAGCCGCAGCAGTGGCTTGGGCCGTGGCCGCAATCCGCTCAGTTTCAGCGATAGCAGCACGAAGGCCATCAGCATAGGGATCAGAGTAGGTAGAGGTAGGTGCAGAGGCAGGTTTAGGAATGGCGCCAGAACCACGCTGCTGAGTGACAAACCAGAGGTTAAAGCCACTCACGAGGGTGCCAGACAGCGTGCGCTCAAGACAGTTCAGCCAACTGGGGAAGTTGACTGCGCTGCCATCAGGCGCGAGCTGAGAGAGGGAGGGGACGGCGAGAGAATTCGCCATAAGGAGGAGGAGACAGCTGCAGAGCAGATGAGGGGAGAGGTATAAGAGGCGGAGGAATAAGGGGCGAAGCAGTCTGCTGCTGAGCCGCTGAGGGGAGAAACAAGAGGAGGAGGGATATTGACGGAGTAGTCTGCTGCTGAGCCGCTGAGGGGAGAAACAAGAGGAGGAGGGATAGTGGCGGAGTAGTCTGCTGCTGCGCCGCTGAGGGGAGAAACTAGAGGAGGAGGGATAGTGGCGGAGTAGTCTGCTTCTGTGCCGCTGAGGGGAGAAATAAGAGGAGGAGGGATAGCGGCAAGGTAGTCTGCTGCTAGGCCGCTGAAGGGAGAAAAAAGAGGAGGTAGAGTTGTGAAGGAGTTTGCAGTTGAGCAGTTGAGGGGAGAGTACAGAGGAGGAAAGGTGTGGAGGAGCAACAACTTAAAAAACGCAATCAGCCACCAGCTGCAGCAGATGAGGAGAGAAAAGAGGTGGAGGAAGAAAAGGGGGGGTGAAAGAGTGGAGGGGGATTTAGAGGGAGAGAGGAGAGGAGGAGGATGGTGAAGGGGCGGATTTGTGGGAAGGGCGTGTCACAAGTACTTACGAGCTGCAGCAGATGAGGAGAGAAAAGAGGAGGAGGAAGAGGTGAGATAGTGAGGGATGCACAAAGGAGAGAGGAAAGGAGGAGGAGGGTGAGGGAGGGGGGGGCGGATTGGGAAAGGGCAGGGCACGCCACAGGGGAGGCAGGCGTGCGCACTGCTCGACGAAGCGAAGCGTGCGCGGCGACGGCAGCGCAATGCGCGCGCGACAAGACGGGAGGGGGCGGAGGGGGGGGGGGGAGCGGCTGAGTGCGCTACGAGCAGAAATCAGCGCGCTACTGCTGGGAACGTGAAGAGGAGGAGGCGAGACGAAGAGGGAAGGCGCGCGAGCGCGATATGGACAGTAGGGAGGCGCGCTACAGAGCGGAATAGAGCATCCGCATGACTAAAATGAAGAAAATCGTGAGGATGCTAAGAGTGATTGTAAAGAGACGAGAAAATAGAAAGAAAATAAAAATCATCTAGCTAAGTAGCGCGGAAATGGCCTAAGGGCCAGAAAATTTCTTTGAGATGCGGATAAAACGGAAACGCCTAGGACTAGGCTCTGAATATAATGTTGAAATAAGAGAAGCCATGGATGGAGAGAGGTAGAAGAAGTTGGACTAGGCAGAGAATGTCGAGGTACAAAAGAGAGAGGGTTGGAAACCCTAATTGAACCTAGGGTGTGTTCGGTTTGTACTAAAAACTACAAAATGAACCTAAAACGAACCTGAATGCGTAACTCTCTCTAAGCCTTGAAAAATAATATAAGAACACCAAAATAAAGGCCAGAGCGAGCTCTAGCCTACTCCAACAGGGACGACTCCTGTAGTAACACACCGACTCGTCAGAAGTGACTTCCCGGGAACTGAAGTACTCATATGTGAGTGGGTCGTAGAACACCCAGCCATAGGCATCCAAGGGGAAACCAAGGAAGTCACAGGGACGCGTGCGAGCAGACAACTTGTTCGCGCCAAGGGTGCGAACGTGGGCCAAGCAACCCCAAACTCGGTAGTCAGATGCTACTCGAGATCCTATCCAAATGATGACCGGCGTCACTCGTGGCCGTGCGTTACTAGGCCACAGGTTCTGCTTGTGCGCCGCGTAGCAGATTGCCTAGGGCCACAAGAACTGAAGGGCACCGGCATGGCACATGGAGGTCCGGGCAACCTCCATGACCAGGCCGATGCATCGCTCGGCTACCACGTTATGCTGCGGCGAGTCTGGTACCGTGTAAGACTGGATGATCCCCTGAACGTGACAGAAGGTCTCCAGGCGAGTGGAAGAAAACTCACCACCACGGTCCGAGTGTAGGCGGAGCCCATACAGGCCCTGGGCGCCACTTTTCACTGGTAGCCACGGCTCTAGGATGCTAGGCACGTTGGCCTTCCGTCGCAAGGGAAACACCGTGGTGAAGCGGGAGAAGTCGTCCACCACAATTAGGAAGTAGCGCTCCTGATGTGGGCCAAGGACCGGGGAGGAGCCCCAGACGTCCAAGTGCAGGGTCTGTAAGGGAGCCATGGTGGGGGGGAATTGAGGAGGAGTGGGGGGGAATTGAGGAGGAGTGAGGGGCAGCGCACTGCCAACCCTCAACGCAAGGAGTGCACGGCGGCGCAGGCGAGCCAGGGAGCGGAGCAAGCGACTCCAGGAGACCTGAGACCAGACGGTGGCATACCATCCTACTAAGACGCAGGAAGGACGGGTTAGACGGTGGTGCCAGTGGGCCAACGGGTAGGTTAGTGACCTGACCTGACTTGACCTGACCCGGTGTGTAACGAGTACAGACCAAAGCCTGGCTCCCTGTGAAAAGTGGCCAGTGGCGCCCCAGTAGCACCGTCTCTGCAGGAGGCAACAGGCTCGTCCAGGGGGAAAGTGGTGTCAACTCCTAGGTCGTGGAGGTGACTGACACTCACCAAGTTCCTAGAGAACGAGGGGATGCAGAAACCTGTGAGAAACCCAGAGGGAGCCGCCGGACACGGGAGAGTGGTGGTGCTGAGGGCGACTACAGACCCCACGGAGAGGTCAGCCAAGGCGATAGTGAATGGAGTGTGCAGTGGCGTGAGGACGATGTAGTCGCGAAAGAAACATTTGGAAGCTCCAGAGTCTAGGGTGAAGGAAAGCTATGCACTCGGTCAGGTCGCACCCGAGCCAGCGATAAAGGCTGGTACTAGACTAGTGGTAGCTGCAGCTCCCACACTAAGAACCTCTGAGGAGCCTGGACTAGAAACTACACACGCACCAAGACTGGAAATACAAGTCTCAATTGAAGTTGCAGCTTCCACGTATCGGTGTGTGTACTGGCCGGGTCGGACAAGGCCCCGTGGTGGAGGCTGCCGCTGGCGCTGCTGCTGAACCCACAATTGCTGAACCCGCAGATGCTCCTGCTGCTTCGGTGGCCAGTGCTACTGCTGCGCGCGCTGGTGCTGTGGCCACGGCTGCTGCGGCGACCACCGGTGCTGTTGCCACTGCTGCTGCTGCGGCCAATGCTGCTGCTGCGGCCACTGCTGGTACTGCGGCCACCGCTGCTACTGCTGCCGATGTGGCCACATCGAAATGGCATGCTAGTATAGGGGTAATACGGGCCAATCAAGGCGGCAGTATTAGTGGTAGGTGTCAAAATGTGTGGTTGGGAGTGGTCTAGTGCGGTGGGAAGTGGTCTAGTGTGGTGAGAAGCAGTCTAGTATGGTGGAAAGCAGCTAAAATTGGTCGGATGCATTTGAGAGCGGTTTGGCGTGGTCTAGAGCGGTGGGGAGCGGTCTAGTGCGGTTGGGAGCGACTAGGAGCGGTCAGGTGCGGTAGGGTACGGCCGGGTGCGGTCGGATGCGGTATAGTGCAGTGGGGAGAGGTCTAGTGCGGCTAAGAGCAACTTGACACGGTTGAGTGCGGTTCAAGTGCGGTTGAGAGAGGTCTAGAGTGGTGGGGAGCGTTTGGGACAGGTGGAGTGTGGTGGGACATGATTTCTTGCGGTTAGGAGTGGTCTTGTGTGGCGAAGGGCGGTATCTCGCGGCTGGAAGCAGTCTAGTGTGGGTAAGAGGCGGATATGGTGCGGTTGAATGCGGTTCAGTGAGGTTGAAAGGGGTAAAGAGCGGTTGTGGCGGCTGTTAGGGTTTTCTACCGCGGACTGAGCTAGAGAGAGGCGGGATAGGGCGGTAGTGAACCGCGACAGACAGGGTACGGGCGGGAAAGTGGCAGGGTACGGGCGGAAATGAAGGGGAACGCGTGGGGACCACGGGGCCATCTAGCGCGGGCCACGGGGCCATCAATCACGGGCCGAGTGGCTCGCTACCGACAGGCCGCGGGGCCTGCTAACGAAAAAGGGCCACGGGGCCCACTTCCTACGGTCGTTCGAAGGGTGATGGGTGGGGCGCGCGAGGGAAACGGGCGGGCGGCGGGCAACGGGAGCGGAATATTCGATGAGCAACGGGAAAGCTACGGTCGACGGGATGGGTACTGACGACAGGCGCGCTACGGGCAACGGGCGACGAGCTACGAGGCGCGCGTTAGGACGGGGCGCGTGCTAGAGATTTTGGTGGGCCCTTATTCTATCGAGAGTGAAAACGCTAGGGGAAACCCTAGCTAGGGACACCTCGCTCTATACCATGTTAAGATATGAATGAATTCTTGTTCAGGATATGCCATATTAAAAAGTTGAGGAATTCCCTTTTCAACTAAACGCAAATCCACTCGGTAAGATTATGCGCCTTTTAGCTACCATCTCCAATTCAAATCACTTAAAAAGATGGTCTTTAGAGTGAGAACCAATTGAAAAAGTCCAACAGCTGCATGACTATAGTGGTGGAGGAGGTACAAGCATTAAGGCATGAAAAGTTGGAGTTGGGGACTCCAAGAGAACCATGAGAGAGAATGGTTTCTCCAAGAGCTATGGAAGGATGGTAGGGACCTTCCTAGGAGCAAGGATGCAACCCTCAGCATGAGGTCCTTGAGGTGTCACATGCAAAATCCAATCTAGTTGGACTTTTGACTAGGAGTTGCAACATTTGCAACCCATGCTAGAAACTTCTAGCCACCCCAATCCAAAAGTCAAAGTTGCCTTCCTAACCACCCAACCAAAGATCCCTTTATAGTCATGTCCCAATAATCGCCCAATGTAGATAATATCTCAAAATGAGATAGAATTCCCAAAACTTGGAAATCTTGTAACTTGGGCGATCTTGGTCGGAATAAGGCGATCTTGGTATCGTTGGAAAGCTCTGGATTTCTCCTGCATGATCAAGCATTAAAACTTGGAGAAAACACAGAGATGATAATATCCAACAGCCATGCTTAATGACATATGCTCATGCAAATCATGCAAGCACAAATGGCACAAGCACCTGGCAAGATGTTAGGCTGACATGCACTCAAACTGACGTGCGCTCAACAATTCCCCTTCAGACTAACAA